GAGCGGAGCCGTGTGTGGAGATGCGCACACGGATATCCTCATCCGGTTTAGGTCACCTGTCGGGGCGGTTACCGGGGTGTGGCTGCTAGGCCGAGCCTAGCTACACAGAGTCAGATGTGAAAGTTGGGTGCCAAATTAATGGGCGCTTGGCGTAGTCTACATCTTCAAGCAAGTGAACGACCTACTGTACGATCGTCACATTGATCCACAACTAGACATCACTACACCTCACACACCCAGACACACATACGCACACATTTGCAGGCAATTGTAAACTCGTTAAAGTGCTTAGAAGTAGCGTGCAGAGGCAGGACATCCTTAACATGTCTAACCAGGACGGTCTTTGTGGCCTCTGGCAAAACAAGGTAGACAGCGGGCACATTCCACACTCACAATCACTATCATCGAGCAGAGGCGCGCGTATCGCCGCTACATAGTGCCAATCGAACACTGTCACTCACCGGTACTTGCTAACAACTGGAATAAAACTGAATATTTACTAACAAGACGTTGATTGGCCCAAATGTGGTCTTCATAACCAACTTTCACCTACTGACATTGATATCTATCGAGTCGGAATTCAGGGAGTCAAGGGTACCTTGAAGGAGAGACTGCTGGCTACCGCTAGCCGTGGTAAATGACCGACCTTGGATAAGGGGACGTCAAAGCCATGCACCTAATTCGCCGGTCAGTGGTGGTAAACCAGTGCCCAGTGTGTCCTTGTGAAAGTACAAATGAATGTGCGGCAATGGTAGGGTATGTCACCGCACTCAACTGTCGGTGGGCTGTGGATCGTGTCGGACGGGAATAGAGGCAGTGGGATTTCTAGGGGGTGAGCTAGCAAAGTGCAAAGAAACACAGAACTTGTTTGGGTTTCGACCGAAAGCGTTAGTGTATGCTTTGTATGGGTGTGGAAATAAGCGCGTTACTTAAAAGATAAACAAAAAGCAAATTTCCAAAAATAACTGACATTTGTAGTGGTTTTCTGTCAAGGGAAGTAACCGTATGTTGGTAGTGTAATACCTGCAACGACCTGCAAATAGATGCCAATATAAAACCTTACAAGACACCACTCACAGTCTACCGAGAGTTAAAAGGGGGCCTTCAAGCTACCGTTGCAGAATGCGATAATGAGGCTAATAACAAAGTACATGCAGTTGCCATCGCGAAGTATTGCTGATTGCAATGAGCGTTCCTGTCTTATTTTCCATCGTTAGCCAGTCCTATTGCCAGTTCACTCTAGGAGACCAGTTGATGGAACCGAGATCACTTGGCTGTTGAACCACATGCCCTACCACCTGGACCGTGCAGACCCAAGCCATGTGGCTGCGATCGGGAATCTACGAGATTGTGTGAACGTGACGCTGGCCGATCGAGCTTGATTGTAGGGCAGAAAGCGGACGTCCGGTCGAGATGCCACACTGAGAAGTATTCAATCAACGCAATGATCACCAGCGGAGGCTAGAATGGCATGCTTTTCTGATGTTTTCAGAAGTCAGTCAACCACCGGCACAGACAATAGAGCCCAGTCCTTCGATCGACTGATTGAACGCCCGGATTGAAGACCGGCAAAGGCCGGCCTCGAAATTCAGGTTTCCACACCACCGGGTTTTGATATGGGAGGCGTCGTAAACAATCGTAGCCATAAGCTGCACCCAAGATATTTTGCAAGCCGCGTGGCTTGCCAACGCTCAGAGGGGTTACCCATTCCTTAGAGAGTGAACAGTCCCTTCCTCTCATTTGTTTCCGATATTGAGTTGGGTGAGGGGGGGGGTTGAAGAGACCTTTAGACGAGATGGCATAATGCGCGAGAAATGATTTCTCCATACAGAACTTCATGCCTGTGTCAATGCCTGAGTCATGACGGCTTGAGTCACTTACATGGAAGGTAACTTCTATTCTCAGAACCAAGTCACTGAGAGGTTGTAGCCCTGACGAAGCCAGTCAAGTATTTGTCAACAGGACACTGTTTTTAAAGAAAATAATCAATTTCTGCTACAGATTATTTTCTTCTTGACTGTTCAGGTCAACATCGTACCGACAGACGCTGGCTTATAAGCCTCCTACACGACGCTAGGAAAGGGTAGAAAAATTAGATGCATTAGGGGATAGAGAAGAGGCAGAAGGCTAGGTAGCGACCGAGACCAGCACTGGGAGATCCGAAAAGGCTGTTGCAGTGAGCGAGAGAGAGGACGAAAGCACCGAAGTGTGAAGAAACTTCAACTTCAAATCCAGTCTCATGTACAAATGATGCCGCCACTTCTGCCAGAGAGCTGTTTCTGTAGTTTGCTTTACACCGCTGACATTCGTACTTTATTAAATTTTGTCAGACTCGGAGATCGATTGAAAAAAGGAATTTCTCTGTATTGCCCAAAGGAGTCTGAAAAACAACGAGTTTCTGAAAACAGAGCTCTTGCAGTCTTCATTGTTAGCTCTGTGGCCCGATAAGAGCCCATTGGCAAAAAGGACGAGCGTGCATGAGTTGAATTATCTCCTCATGCCTATGAATGCCTAATGATGACCCAGCTGTTTCTCACGCCCTCAGACATGAGTCGCTCACACGGAAATGAAATTCCAGTTTCTGAGGCAACTAGGGACACAGAGCGGAATCACTGAGGGGTTGTGGCCCTGACGAAGTTAGTCGAGTACTTGTCACTAGGCCATTGCACCAACAGAAAAAAAACAAATTCCCATCACTGATCATTCTCTTCCTGCCACTCCAGATCAACATCATACTGACAGTCGCCTGTTTACGGGCATCTCTTATGATTCCTCAAAGGAATGACAAAATGCAATTAGACAGGGGCGATAGCCAACCAACAACAGCATTAGGAGGATCACAAAAATTCGTCGTCAAATGTGAGAGGGGCCGGAAAAACTGAAGTCTGAAGAAGCGTTGGCTTTAAATTCGTCCTAATATGAAGATGTGGCCATTTCAACAGGAACCCGTTTTGCAGTTTGGTAAACACGAGCGAATTTCATACTTCATCGACTTTTTCGAACTCGGAAATCTGACGTAAAGAAATTACCCATAGTTTGGCAGCCGTCCCCATGCACTTCCAGAGCAGTCGGGAATTCCTGATATCAGAGCTACCGCTGTCTTCGTCGTTAATTCTTAGGCAAGAATGACGAACTGCGTAAGTCGAATTATCTTCTCGTGCAAATAGATGCGACTTCGCCGCAGGGGAGTAACCAAGCTTTTAACGTCTCAGGGACGCGTTTAAGGCCAAAGGTTGAGGAACAAGTAGGGTGACTTGAAAATTGAATCAAGCTTTGCAGACCTCGAAAATTCATAGAAAGGATGACAACCGTCTGGGTAGCCATTTTTAAAGCTCAGTTTACGCAGGCGATTGCAGAGATGCCAGTATGCCGCCGTCATCCGAAAATCCGTGTTTCATTCTTATCCCCGTTATCCTTACCATGTGAAATCGTATCTGAAAATTTCGGTTAATGCTTTACGAGGTTCAACACGCTCTGCTTGCTCGTGAGATTTTTGAACCTCATATGAGGCTTATCTTGATGGAATGTGAAATAGAACTTTAGTCATTAATACCGTCACCGCGTAGTTATTTTAGTCTAAAGATATTTTCTTGCCGAGACTGGCATGTGTCCTATTTTGACGAAATTAAGAAGCTTTTGCTGTATTTTGATTGAAAATTCATCCTAGGTTTTAATTCATCGGCATATTGAGGGCACCCTCTCAACGACAGGGCCTTTGATTCCTCTCTTAGCCAGCCTTTCAGGAACACTTATTCAACATACAATAAGTATCGAATTAAAAATAAAATACAAGGGTTATGACAACTGAATGTATGTAAACTTGAATTCATAAACTCCGAATTCTAATCAACGCATAAGGTTACTATGGTTTCAGGAAAATCGTAAATTCCCTTGGTCTAACACCAATTGCTTACCCCTAGTTAAGAGTAGTCGACTTTGTAGAAGTGCTAGAGTTTATCCAAAAATAAAACTGCCCAACAAAGTAATGAGCATATCTTTTAGGAAAAAATTGGTCCAATGAGGAGATGGCTAAAGTGTCGGCTTTTAAGGTTGCAGCCGATTAAGGGGACCACACCAAACTGTCTATTCCAGCACCTCCCAGACTGCCTCAGAAGTGATAACATTTTCGTTCGGTTTCTTAAATGTCGTACTCGTATCTCATACCGAGCCTCTATTCGGATTCTTCTCCTAGTCGAAAAGGTAACGTAGGAAAGTTTAGTTAGCACAGTTGATAGCAGTTGATTAATATTCTGCCATGGGAACAAAGAGGCGGCTGATCAGAGGACTGGCCAGGTAGGCTCAAAAGTGCGGTAGACAGCTCCCATTGGCAGCACGGC